CTGATCAATGATTCTCATCATTGATGTTTCTATCTCTCTCCCTCTCCCTTCCTCTCTGAAATCAACAAAAATATATTTGAGAAAAAAACAAACGCCCACTAATGAACAAAATGGAACCAGAAGCTTGAGTACCTGGAAGAGACTGGCATGTACCTAAGGCGGGTGGCAGGGGAGTGACTGGATAGAGAAGGTGAAGGAATTAGCTAAAGAACACATATACACACCCCATGGACAAGAACAATAATTTGGTAAAGGCCAAGGAAGTGGTAGGCAGGAGAGGGTAGAGGTGGGCAAAGGGTGGGGGAGAGAAACTCCTGCAATAATATCAATACTAAAGATTTTTTTAATAAAAAAATTAAGAGAACACAAAAACAAAACAAAAAATCCTTCCTTTTTAACAAGTATGCCTAAAGTTATTCAGATCCAAATAAGTGTAGTTCCAGTACTAATAATTCTCTACCCGTATCATCAACCCCTGGACGCAATATCCAGCCACACTCACCTAATTGCCTTTTCCTGGTGTTCATTTATACCTGCCCAAGTTACTCTAGAACAGTGGTTCTCAACCTGTGGGTCGAGACCCCTTTGGGGGTCGAACAACCCTTTCACAGGGGTCGCCTAAGACCATCGGAAAACACATATATAATTACATATTGTTTTTGTGATTAAGCACTATGCTTTAATTATGTTCAATTTGTAACAATGAAAATACATCCTGCATATCAGATATTTACATTATGATTCATAACAGTAGCAAAATTACAGTTATGAAGTAGCAACGAAAATAATTTTATGGTTGGGGGTCACCACAACATGAGGAACTGTATTAAAGGGTCGCGGCATTAGGAAGGTTGAGAACCACTGCTCTAGAAGAATGAATCCCCACTTCTCCACTGGGTGAACTCAGCTTTCAAAATCCACCTCAGCCCTAGCTGGTTTGGCTCAGTGGATAGAGAGTTGGCCTGCAGACTGAAGGGTCCTGGGTTCAATTCCCATCAAGAGCATATGCCTAGGTTTTGGGCTTGATCCCCAGTAGGGGGCATGCAGGAGGCAGCCAATCAATGATTATCTCTCATCATTGATGTTTCTATCTCGCTCTCCCTCTCCCTTCCTCTCTGAAATCAATAAAAATATATTTTTTTAAAAATCCACCTCAAACTCACCTCCCCTGTGAAGCTTTCCAAGAGATACCAGAAAAAAAATCAGTGACTTCCTTCTTCCACTGTGCTTATTTAGTTATTCACTCAACACTTAATTGAGTTGCTACAATGAGCCCAGGTGTGAAGGCTGAAATGAATGGATACATGTCAAAGGTTAGAACAGTGCAGCGCACACTGACAGCCCTGCCTAAGTGTTCGATGATGGTGGTGACCAAGCTGATGCTGGAGGTCAGAGAGAGATGACTGGTAATAAGCAACATACAGACTGACTCACAGAGAGCAGGCTGACAGCTGGGGAGGTGGGGGAGGACTGGGGTGAAGGGATTGAGCAGAAAAGAGAGAAAAAACTCATAGATACAGACAACAATGTGGTGATTGCCAGGGGGAGAGGGTTTGGGGGAAGTGGAACAGGGTATAGGGGTGATAAATGGTGATAGATGGAGACTTGACTTGGGGTGGTGAACACACAGTACAATGTACAGATGGTGTGTTGTGGAATTGTACACCTGTGTAATTTTGCTAACCAGTGTTACCTCAATAAATTCAATAAAAAGGAAAAAATAAAAGAGATGATTGAAACACAATCCATGATTCAGGAAGCCTAGAACTGCTAAGAAAGGCCCATGAGAAATTGCAAGGCAGTGCAATGTGTACTTTGTAATGAAGCACAGGGCGCTGTGGGATCACTTAGCCTGTATTCCATCCAATTTAGGTTCTGGACAAGGTCAGAGAAGTTCCTCCAAGGAGGGTATCTTAGTCAGCTCAGGCTGCTGTAACAAAACACCACAGACTGGGTGGGTGCTGCCCTCATGACCTAATCACCTCCCAAACGCCCCACCTCAGAATACAATCACGTTGGGCATTAGAATTTCACCATATGAATTTGGGGCAACACAAACATTCAGGCCATAGCAGAGGGGGCAGAGAGGAGATGTGTAAATAAATATAAATACTTATTCCAAGAAGCTGCCCAGGGTCCCACCTTTCCGCACTGCCCTTTGGAAGTCCTGAAGGGCCAGTTTACACAAGGCTGGGTCAAGCCTATTTTTGACCCAAGAGTTCATGACCCAGCTTGACCACCCATCTTGCTCAGGATGGTAAGTGGCGGTGCCAGGATTCGGTCTATATCTGACTAGGAAGCTTCCGGAGGGATGTGTACCCGGGCGGCTCGCAGAGTCCGCTGTATTTTCCTTCCACAACACTCCCACAGCTTGTAATTACATGATTATATATTTGGGAATATGTGTTTACTGTCTGTCTCCCGCACTGGCTGTCAGCATTTTGCTCACCACGGAATTCTCAGGATCAGGGCGCAGAAACTTTATCAAAGTTTTGCTTTACATTTTCCTGGGGTACACACGCCCTGTCCCTGTACACCTCCACGCCCACTCCACTGAGCCCCAC